TAGAGACGGGGTTTCACCATGTCGGCCAGGCTGGTCTCGAACTCCGGCCCTCAAATGATCTGCCTGCATCAGCCTCCCAAAGTGTTGGGATTACAGGCGTGAGACGCTGCACCCCACCAGGCTGACTTCTTTTACTTAGCAATATGCATTAAAAGTTTCCCCATGTCTTTTCATGGCTGGATAGATCATTTTTTTAAATCATGGAATAACATACCATTGTCTGCATGCACCATAGTTTGTTTATTCATTCACATATACTAATAGACATCTTGGTTGCTTGCCAAGTTTTGGTAATTATGAATAAAGCTACTGACAAAATCCATGTGCAGGTTTTTGTATAGACCTAAATTTCAACTCATCTGGGTAAATACCAAAGAGCATAATAGCTGGACTGTATGCTTAGAATATGTTTGGTTTTGTGAAAGACCACCAAACTGTCTTCCAAAATGGCTGTATCATTTTGTATTCCCACCAACGAGTGAGAGTTCCCGCTGCTCCACATCCTAGCCACCGTTTGATGTTGTCAGTGTTCTCAAATTTTGGCCATTCTTGTAGGTGCGTAGTGGTATCTCACTGTTGTTTTTATTTGTATTCCCCTGAAGACATAAGATGTGAATCGTATTTTTACATGCTTACTCGACACCTGTATGTCCTTTTTGATGAGTTATTTGTTCATATTCTTTAGCTCATATTTTAATTGGGTTCTTTGTTTACTTATTATGGAATTACGAGAGTTCTTTGTATATTTTTGATACTGGTCCTTTATCAGATATGTGTTTTGCAAATATTTTCTCCTAGTGTGGTGGCTTGTCTTTTCATTCTTAAATGTTTTTCATAGAGCAGAAGTTTTTAGTTCAAACAAAGTCCAACTTAACAAGTTTTTAGTTCAAACAAAGTCCAACTTAACAAGTTTTTAGTTCAAACAAAGTCCAACTTAACAAGTTTTTATCTCACGGATTGTACTTTTAGTGTTGTATCTAAAAAGTCATCATTATACCCGAGGCCACCTAGGTTTTCTCCTATGCTATCTTCTAGAAGTCCTACAGTTTTGCATTTTACACTTAGACCTATGGTCCATTTGGAATTAATTTCTGTGAAAGGTATAAGGTCTGTGTCTAGATTCACTTTTGCGCATCTGGATATCCAGTCGTTCCACCATAAAATCTGAATTTTTATGTGAGGACTCCTGTTTTTAAGGTTTGTTCAAGTCTTTTTTTGATGGTAGTGGTACTGGAGGAATTATAGCTCCCCCTCCTCTAATATACATGTCTGCAGAATGCATTTATCCATCCTGGATAATCTCTGCCTCCTTCATCCCTCTTACCTGGAATGCTCTTCATCCATCCATCTAAGTTTTTTCTAATGTCCACCTCACACTCTATCTACCTGACTTTCCCAGTACTTCAACCTGGTGTATGTGTTCACCAGATAATCAGTTCATAGTGGTTGAACTCTGAACATACTATGACTTGTCCCCATTAACACTGCCATATACCACTCACTGCCTTTCTTCCTTAGCTAAACTGTGAACTCCTGGGCAAGACAGGTACCCTCCTTTTCTGGTTTACCCCAAGTAGCTTAGCATGCATGGGTCTGGGCATAAAATAGATTCAGCCACAGCTGCTAACAATTGCAGACTAGCTGGGCTTCGGTCCTGACTTACCAATTGTCCTTTGTTCTTCAGGAGAGATGGCTAGTTCAGGAGTCAAGCTGAGGACCTGCCAAAGATTTAAAACCAGCAGCCTTGTCCTGACACAGGTAGAATGATGGTATCTCTAATTTTGATGCCTGATTTAGCGTGACATTCATGTAAATAAGAGGGCCCTGAAGTCCTTGGAGAATTAGGGAAGATTAATGATACCACAAAATGTATTCTTAGAGGTACCACTGTAACATGAGTAACAAACATGTTTCTTTCACTATGATTGCTATCTGGTCAGAATGTTATCCCAGTCATTATGAAAAATAGTGACATAAAGGAGTGAAATAAAAGGAACAGATAGCTTTCTGGTGACTGGTTTCCTACCTCATGCCTATTTAATAGTCAAGCTAATGGTAATTCTCCCGGCCCATCTTTGTTCTCATTTTCTTTTTTTTTTTTTTTGAGACGGAGTTTCGCTCTTGTTACCCAGGCTGGAGTGCAATGGCGCGATCTTGGCTCACCACAACCTCCGCCTCCTGGGTTCAGACAATTCTCCTGCCTTAGCCGCCTGAGTAGCTGGGATTACAGGCACGCACCTCCATGCCCAGCTAATTTTTTGTATTTTTAGTAGAGACGGGGTTTCACCATGTTGACCAGGATGGTCTCGATCTCTTGACCTCGTGATCCACCCGCCTCGGCCTCCCAAAGTGCTGGGATTACAGGCTTGAGCCACCGCGCCCGGCCTGTTCTTCATTTTCATCTGCATCATTAAGTGTTCTCACTGGAGGATCTCTGGACACTTCGAACTGAACACAATGGAGAGAATGAAAGGGTCCACAGATGAGGCTGAGACCCAAGAGGTCTCGGGTGATGGTTACTGTGGCACGTCTGTGTGCTGACAGATTTCTTGAAATCAATTTGCTCAGGGAAAGTACTGTGGGTCCATTTGTTAGGACTGCCTAACAGCCATGCAGGATCCACACAAGCAAACCCCAGGCAGAAAACATCAAGGAGACAGGAACCCAGAAAATCACCGCACTGCCTTGGGTTTGAGAAGTGGCTGTGAGCCTGCCTGCAGAACTTATGAGGGTCTCTGGCATGGCTCCCACTCAGGGCCATGGCAGACACTGATATCAGTGCTGGTGCTGGTACCTCACGAACAACCTTCCCTGACCTCAAGACTCAAAGGTATCAATCAGCAACTCACTCAGCTTGGAAGTACAGTAGTCTTGTTGGAAGCACGCCCACACTTTTTCTGCTAGTCCTCCTCCAGAGACAAACAAGTAGAACAATTCTTGTTATCACCCTCCCTTCCCCAGGAAAGCCCCCCAGATCCACAGGCAGGGAACAGTCCCTCTGGGTGGTGTGAAGTGGGCAGAGCAATTCCTAGGATGTTATGAAAAAAAAATCACATCTAGATGCCTAGAAAATAAAAAATCCAAAGCCTTCTCCTCTGCGACCTGTTTAAAAGACACAACCCCCTTTTCCACTTAGCTGCTTAAGCAACCTCTTTGTACACACTGTACTCAGCAGTGACTCAGGGGCCCACATCTATGAGCCACTGAAAAAAAAAAGATTAGTGGCTGGCTAAAATCAGGGGATGTTAAGCAACCTGGGCTAGAAATTCAACCTCGCTCATGCAGAGGAAGAAATAACTTCAGCAACTGCTAGGTAGAGAAAATTAAACCAACGGAAGAAAAAACAAGTCAAGAAAATAGAATCTCCCTGAAGTCTAGGAAAATGGGTATAGGAGAGCCTGAGAAGGCCAAACTTCAAGGTAGGGAGGCTCCCTAGGCAAGCCCAGCCATGGGGAACCAGAAGAGACTCACTGCCCACCCATAAGCTGAACAAATTCAATTATTTTGAGTTCCTGAGGCACTGGTCCATTTCTTGGTCAACGAACACATGATTCACTACTCAACAGGCAAATAATTAAACTTACTGAACATCAATATGATTTAAAACTGCCAACAACTTAACAGACCTGATATTCTCAGTTTAAGATTTCATCCTACAGTCTAGTTACATTTTTATTATGTACCTCTTAAGTACCTTTTGGAGTCATCTCTCCTCTCAAGCATTTAACAGTGGTGCAATCTTGGCTCACTCCAACCTCTGCCTCCTGGGTTCAAGCGATTCTCCTGCCTCAGCCTCCTGAGCAGCTGGGATTATAGGCACGTGCCACCACGCCCAACTAATTTTTGTATTTTGTTCAGTAGAGATGGGGTTTTACCATGTTGGTCACGATGATCTTCATCTCTTGACCTGGTGATTGTCTACCTTGGCCTCCCAAAGTGCTGGAATTACAGGCATGAGCCACCATGCCGGGCCACCCCTTAGTGTCTTCTAAGGCAAAAGTTATCAGACTCATTTTGCAGATTTGTAAATATCTCAAAGCAATTAAGTGGCAGGGTACTGTCATGAAACTATGGCATGCGGAGGAGTGGGAAAAGGTTACTGACATCCTAGCACCTCACCGCCATGCTAGTGTCTCCCCAAGTTAAACAACTGCCCTGAAGACAGTCTGTGGCTGAACCTCAATCTATTTTCACTTACAGAAAGGCAAAATCATCTCTGTTTTTCCTGAGTCTTACATAACTGTAGCTGAGAGTCCAACTGTTCTGGTCATGGCCTCACATTCTTTCTGCAAAGGCTTTAGTTGACAAGATTTATGGGGTGGTCTAAAGAAGCATGTGAAGCAATGTGGGTTGAAACCAAGAGGGAGAACTTTCTGATCCTAGCAGAGTAGATCTAGTTTCTGCGGAGAGTTAGACAACCAGCCCCCAAACTGTCCTGACTGTGGGTGCCCAATGCCCAAAATAAAGCACAAAGGTTCCTCTCTTTCATCGTCTCTGTTAAGAGGCCACAGTCATGCTAAGGTTTGAGGATGTGATGACACAAAGGGCTCCTGGGGGCTCTTCCTTATGGAAGGGGACACGGAAGTAGCGCCAAACATTCCCAACATAGTCAGTGGGGAGGGAAACCGAGATGACACGTATGAGAGAAACAGACTGGGCCACGGAGTTGCTACAGTCCCTGGATGTTTGTAGAACTTACAGAAATTGCTTTTCATGCCCAGCAGCCAGCACAGGCAATAGCTATCACCAAAGCCATCTCAGCAGGACGGTAAATAAAAATCACCAAGGCTAAGAAGCAGTATGTTAAGAGTAATGACTCCCTCTGAGATGATGATGCTTTAAAAACTCACAACAAGCCAGCTGAGCTCCCAGTTTAGGGAGAAGGTTTAAATAATGTTCAGGGGACAATGGTCCAAAGCCAGACGGAGCCAGATAGCAAATTCTGGGTGGAATGGCTGACCAAAGCCCTTGTGTGGTAGGCAGCTAGACATCATACTTACAGTGAGTTGGGCCGGGTGGGTTTGACCACATTCAGGTCTGGGTCACTGGAGTTCATGTTGGGCTGCAAGCTGCTGCTGGAATTAAGGATGCTGTTTGGATTTGATGAGACAGATTCCAAACTGGAGTTGATGATGCTGTTCCTTTGTTCCTCTGGGGGGAAAAGCCACAAGCCCAATATTAATATTATTACATAGAGACAGTCTATTGCTACATGCACAAAAATTTATAAAGAATATACTGGATTGAGATCTCCTATCCCAAGGAAGCTTAAGAAACAACATAGGAAAGGTTAAGAATTCAAAGTGGAAAAGGAAGAGTCAAGGGGGAATACGTGACTCGAAACGCTAAAGCAAACCCTCTTCCTCTCGTAACAGGATATATCTCCCCTTCACTATAAGCCAGGATTTTTCCTAAGTGTGGCCCTACCATGGCATAATAAATTGCATCTTCTTTTGACTGGCAGACTGTCAGAGTACAGAGCAGCCTTCACAGACCTCTCACATTCACCCAGATCCCCTTGGCTTCTGTGACACTCACCTTTTATTCTAAAACTCCTGCCTTTAATATTGCCCTATTGATCAGGCCATGTCCCACCTCCAATTCCACAGAGCCTCACCAGAGAAGATCTACTGTTTAGCCAGCAACATCCTTATGACTCCAAATTCCTGACCCTTTCCCAGTCACATCCTTCTGTGTTGCCTCTAGTTCCATGTATTTGGTGTTTAACTTCATGTGAATTCTTTGATAAATCGCTCTGTAATGGGCTGCAGAGTGGTTTGCCTATAAACAACAACAAAATACCCACGTCTATGGTCCCAGGAGTCATATTCATGCTTGGAGAATATTGCCAAGCCAAGAGACAGAACACCTGAGTTCTCTTCAAGCCCTGACTGGCTATGTGGACCTCAGGCAATTTCTGCTTGATCTTGGATTCTTGGTTAACCATCTATAAAATGGGGAGAACAAGAACTGCCTTTCACAGCTTGTGAACTGTCATGAGGATCAAGTGGGATCATATGCAGGAATGTATCTTGTAAACTCCAGAATACTGTTCAAAGAAAAGAACTTTATGTTCTTCCCATCTTTAAAAACTTGGAGTCATGAATTGAAAACACAATTTTTAGAGATAATTTAGCTACATGGTACAGGCACCCACCATTGCTATAGCAAAATATTATAGCTGTGGAATGTGATTCTAGTCCCCTTTTCACTACAGATATACCATATTAAAATCAACTGATATTTCTGACAATTAATTCACTTAAATATAACATCTAGGCTAATCCTGGACCTTTTTGCAGTAAGTCAGGGGTACGTTAAAATAGATCCCTCAGAGAACAGACTAGAGTCACTGGCCTGATAATTTAAAGGCCAACATTTGAACTCAGGTCTCTTTAGATAATAAAGAGAGTTATATGTCATAAAAATACTCTTCCCTTTGCACAGGGCATGTCTGTAAAAGTAAAATATGCTTACGAAGTGATTTTACAGGAAGCCTCACGTTAGATATATACACACTCACCCCAATACCCCTGATATCTTAGCAAATCCTTAATGCCCTGGATAAAGCCCCACAGGAGAGAGAAAAACCCTATGAGGTTACCTCCTGACTCCTGAATTCAAAGTAGATTTTGAAAGAAGTAGATTAAATTGATGCCTGAGATTTAGAACTGTTCATATTTTAAGAGCTTAATTTTTGAACAGAAACGACAACAAAGAGAAACCAAAAGAGTTACACTGAGCCAAGATGTAGGAGGACTAACAGGGCCTGTAAATGGGAACTTCCTGCCAGAAAGAAAAACAATGCTAAGATTACATAATAAGGGGATCACTGAGAGATTGGATGCGCCATTTATCAGTATGAATCAGTATCAGTAAAATTTTCCTTTTCACAAAACACACAAGCAAAGATGCCCAAAAGACCATGAGGAGCTCAAGACTACCATATAAAGAAAGAGAGTGAGGACAGCTCCCTCGGCTTCAACAGGAGACATTTACTGCTTCACAAGAGAGGACAGGGAAACAGTTTTATTAACTCTAGTTTGAAAACTAAAGGGGCCAAGTTTGCATGACATAATTCTCTGAATTCTTAGGAAACAGAAGAGCATAACTATCGCTCACATTTCTCCTGTGATTATATTTACTTTTCCAGGAGAGGATTATCATTCTACAAACTAAAAACACTATCTAGCTAAAAGTACATTGATCTTTCTAAAATGTTACCAGGAGATTGTTTTTCTTTCCCTTATTATCCATTAAGAAAAAGGAGGGTATAAAAATGTATCATAAGGCTTCATAGTTTTACAGTCAAGAGGGCCACATATGCATCCTAAGAGGCTGACTCTGTATTGGTATCCCTTACTGAGCCATATGACAAGAAAACCCCAAAACCTGGCACTCCCTGACTATAAAATACTATAATTTTGTACTAGATAGGTTTCATCATCTGTAGACAATACATCATGAGACTGAGAACATCTAGGTAAAAGATATAAGCCGAAAGGCTGACAATCTTTACTGAGAGTGAATAGGCAGAAGAAGATTATTCCAGGGAAAGGGTGGAGAATAAGATCAATAGCCAATCAAATGTTTTAGTGGTTATAGCAAACTATACCAAGACAAATTTTAAAGCATGTGGAGTAAATTAAGAAATAAAGAGAAAATGAGCCAGGCATGGCAGTTTATGCCTGTAATCCCACCACCTTCAGAGGCTAAGGTGGGAGAATTACTTGAGGCCAAGAGTTTGAGATCAACCTGGTAAACATAGTGAGACCCCATTTCTACAAAAAAAATTTAAAACTTAGCCAGGCCTGGTGGTGCACATCTGTGGTCCCACATACTTGGGAAGCTGAGGCAGGAGGATTGCTTCAGCCTGGGAACTTAAGGCTATGGTGAGGTATGATGGCACCACAGCACTCCAACCTGGGTGACAGAGCAATACTCTGCCTCTTTTAAAATAATAATAATAATAATAATAATAATAAAGAGAAAATGATTCAGTACTGTCACTCAAAACAGGAGAGTTTTTCATCAGCTGGGCAAAAATGAGTACTACTCCTGACAGAAGTGCACAAGAACAGCCTAGAAGACACTTTAAAAATATAAAAATAAAAATTAAGCAAATCCTTCAAATAACATAGCTAGACTTCCCTGAGTCACTAATGATTCAATCCAGCTCTGGTATCCTTGTAGAAGGTATAAGAAGGACTGATGGCAATTATGTTGCTGAAGGAAAAAAAATTATAGGCTAGTGGGCTTCCAAAGAAAAACAGTTATGAGTCAGGTCAACAAGATCATAGAGGACCATGACAAAGAGAGAGAGAATCCCCACAACTCAGGAGTATGCCTAAACTGGTGGAAGTCAGTGGGAATGCTTGCCCGCCTCAAACATGTTTCCAACAAGAATCTCTCTTTGTATTAATCACAGAAAACAAGAGAACAGCAACAAGAAAATGATAAAAATAAACCCCCAAATAACGAAAGGCATGCATTGGCAGTGCCTTCACGAACATGTGTTCTGTAAGGAGTGACAAACTGGGTGTGAACTTGTTCCTTAAGGATGCAAACTATCCGAGGGCAGGGACATGATGTCTGGCCATACAGCGTCCATTAACGTGGCGGGTGAGGTCAGCATTAGCCATCCATTCCTGGTGCATAGCCCACAGGTCATTTACACGAAGGCTCCGTGAATGGTTATTTATAGAATAATTGTTAAATATAAGGGAATAATACAGAATCAAAAATGTATGCTGCTAGAACAGAAAGACGTAGTTTTGTGTGACTGAATTTTTCAGGTACTTTAGACAGGGACCACTAATGTCCTTGAAACCAAAGTACTGATGACAGTGGGCAGAGTTTTTGTTTTTTGTACAAATCAGGAACGGAAAAACATGAGTATGCAACCAAATCACTGCAACTAAAAAAGGAAAGCCGCAGAATAATTTTGGTGATATTGTACTTGTTCTGGGGGTTGCCATGGAAATCTGGGAGCTAAGCGACTTCACTTTCCATATTTACCAAGTGACTCCGACCTACTCTGATGGCAACCCCATCACACATGGGAGACGGGAGCTCTGTTTATCACAGAACCCAGAGGCGAGGCCAGGAAAGCACTCACAGAGCCAAGCCAAATTCACATGTCTTGGCAGGCCCGAACAGGTCTGGCTCACTGAATTCACGGCGCTGGAGGGTAAATATAAAACATTTGCGGGAGGTTTCCCACCGTGCACGGGACTCTGTCAGAAGACAAGTTCATATCCCAACTTTCCATGGTACCTAAGAGGAAAGGGCAAAAAGAAGAGGCAAGAGGACTGTTCTTTAACAGCATCTCAGGATGCCTCATAGAGCCAAAAGGAGGCAATGGACTCTCCACATGATCAGATGAGGAGAAAAGGGAGTTACCAGACAGAGCAAAAGTTCTGCAAAGACACAGAGATTCATATAAAAAATAGGAAGGCAAATGCAAAATACCCAGAGGCTTTCCTGTGCTGTGGTCAGAAGAGAGGTATACTTTCTCCTGCTTGTTAAAGTTTTGCAATGAAGTCTGTAATGTATCATCTTGACAAGATGGGATGATAATAGCATGGCAGCTTAATGAATTTGGCAATAAAAAATGATGAGTGCACAGCAATTTCTGAGTTTACCATCTCTGGGAAACACCCAAGTACATGGGAAGCTTGGAATGAAACTTTCTGAAGCAATTTTCCCCCCTGTAGCTGTTATTCCTGATAATAGTGATATGCCAAGTCACACTAAAATCTGAGGTGGTCTCATTTCAGGCTGACCCAGCAGCCTCAGTCCCTATGATAAAAATAATCTTAAAAAGCAGTCTGGGTAATATTGTTGGGTATATAAAAGCGGTTTGGGCAATGTTTAAAAAAAAAAATCTTAAAAAGGAGTTCAGGAGATGATGGACTACACAGTGAGTTGAAAAGTGAAAAGTGGAGTCAATTCGTTGTTTTGATCACAGCACATGGAAGATAATATTAAAACTTTTGACAGATTATCTTCGGCAAAATGACTTCTGACTTTGGTTCTGTGTGGACAGACTGAGTCTCTCCCCACCGCACCTCTAATAACCCTTTCCTTTGCAAAGCGAAAAAGTGCCAACAAAACTGAATTTCATGAGAGAATGAGGAAGTCATTGTGGC